GTTTACCAACTTTATTACTCTGTTGCTCGATCAGAATAGCAAGATGCAACGACATTTCAATGACCAACTAAGCATAAGTTTAATCATAACATAAAATAGAACTTAACTACTAATTGAGTATTTATTACTTTGCAATTATAGGTATTTTGCATATACATTGAGTTATTGAGAGAAAAAGAGTAGCATAATGGCCCTAACTATCGTTAAGTTAATGGGTACGTGAGAGCATTCATACACTAAACTTCGTTAAGCAAGAAGAAGCATAGAAAAAGAGTACAAGAGAATAATAGTTAAATTGCTCCTTTGAGTGTAAGTGTTAACCTATCGCTGTTACAAAAGCTAATGCTACCGCCTAACATAACATGCGATGTAACTTGCATTAGCATAATACTGATATTACATTCTCTCATGTTAGTTATTATGTTAAATTATGCTCTATGATATTATGATTATGTTAAACATATATAAACGGGCTGCTACAATTTAAAGTTCAAAGGGCTAAATATGCTGAAGCATTTGTATCTTTTAAATTCGGACTTGTATTGCCCATTTGGTGCACAATTAATTTCAAATCGGATAAAAATAAATATGGGAGATATCCAAATCAGAACCGATCTCGATAAAATTTGGCAAAGATATTTCTGAGTTGTATTAGATATATTTCCCTGAATATCGTTGTTACGGAGTGCATATTACGGCTGCGGAAGACAAAAATAAAAAATCAGATGAACAATATATATGGGAGCTATAGCTATATCTGAACCGATCTCCATCCAAATTTGACATTCTAGCTTCTAGATTCAATTCGTTCGTATGTGCCAATTTCCATTCCATTTGGACAAATATTAGACGTTTGGTGCACAATAAAAGGTAAATCGGACGAAGTTATATATGGGAGCTATAACCAAATCTGAACCGATCTTGATAAAATTTGGCAAAGATATTTCTCAGCTGTATTTGATATATTTCCCCCAAATATTCTTGTTACAGAGTTCATATTACGGCTGCAGAGGACGAAAATAACAAATCAGATGAACAATATATATGGGAGCTATAGCTGTATCTGAACCGATTTCCATCAAATTTGACATACTTATTTTCAGGCCTAATCTGGTTGTATGTGCAAAATTCCATACTATTCGGGCTGATATTACACGTTTGGTGCACAATAAAAGGCAAATCGGACGAAGATATATGGGAGCTATATCTAAATTTTGACCGATTATCTCCAATTTCAATAGGGTTCGTCCTTGGGCCAAACAAATGATTTGTGCAAAATTTCATCGGGATAGGGCAATAAATGCGAACTGTAATTTGTTTACAAAAATACATGGACAGACGTACGGACATGCATAAATCGACTCAGAATGTGCTTCCATGCAGATCATCAAAAGGAACTATGGGTCTATCTCGTTTCCTTTTGCCTGTTACAAACAAATGCACAAAGACATAATACCCTGACCACCTTGTGGTGTAGGGTATAAAATTGGGTTAGAGTCAAAAATTTTTGGACAAAATTGTTAAAGCAAAAATTACTGGGGCTGTCTAATTTCAGTCAATTCCATTAAACAAATTCATTACGCTTCTACTCCGCCCCCTGCCAAAAAAATTTATGAAAAAATATATATTTCTATGTATGTACGGGTGCCACCCCTTCTCCTCCTCTGCCATACAATGTATTTGCGCAAAAAGAAACGGCAACCACAGCACAGAGGAAGCAACTGACGCCATAAAATGTTTAAATATTTGCACGCAAAATATTAGTTGAATACTTGAATAAAATAAAGTAAAAAAACATTTCGAAGAAAAATTGAAAAAAAAATGCTTTTAAATTATCAACAACAACAAAAACAACGAAAATTATTGAACAAGTAAAGACACTGCTTAAAAGTTTTTTTTATTAATTGAAAAAATAACAACAATTATGTAGCAAAAAAAAACACGAAGGATTGACTTGAAGTTGTGTACTGCGAGGTTTAAGAAGGTATACCAGAGCTACAAAGTCAAATTTGGTTAAAATATGGTAAGAAACTCATAAAAAAATGTTGAAAATGTGGAAGAGTTTGTGCCTCATCGAAGTAACGGTTGTAGACCCAAGGTCTCTTTGGACAAAAACCGTTTCAGGACATTTGGAGTCGATACTGCGATGTCCGTCCGCCCGTCTGTCTGTCTGGATCGCCGATTACTCTCGAAGGGAGTATCCGAATCGGTCCAAACTTGATACATAGTAATATTATTATCAAACTAAGATCGAGATCGGACATGGGCAATATCGATCCACTCCTTCTGGTAACTCCCCCACAAAAGGTCGAAATTTAAAAAAAAAAATAAATGTTTTACTGCACAGAAAGAGAAAGGATAATATGATTTTGCTTCAACTTTTAAAATCCTAATATTTACATAAGTGCTGGGTCAGGTGCGAAAATGTAAAATATTGGTCCACTCCATCAAATACCTCTCCCAGCAGAGGGTCAAAATTTTGAATAATTACAATTACAATAATTACACAATAATGTTATTAAGATGTAATACGTCGGTCCACTCCTTCTGGTACCTACCCCACAAATGGTCGAAATTTTCAAAGAAAACATTTTACTGCACAGAGAGAGAAAGGATAATCCGATTTTGCTCCAACTTTGCAAATCTTAATATTTGCATCCATGTTGCATCAGGTGCGAAAATGGACAATATCGGTCCACTTCATCAAGTACCTTCTCCACAAAGGGTCAACATTTTGAATAATTACAACTCTTATAAAATCTGATGTAAGAGTCCGATTGTCTTCAAATTTCACACAACCTAATAATTCTATTAGCCCAAAGTCTGGTGCCAAGATGGAAAACATCGGTCCACTCCTTCTGGTACCTACCCCACAAAAGGTCGAAATTTTCAAAAAAAAAAATAAATATTTTCACAGAAAGAGAATCAATAATCCAACTTTGCAAATCCTAATATTTGCTTCAGTCAGATGCAAAAATGGATAATATCGGTCCACTCCATCAAGTACCTCCCCCACAAGGGGTAAAAATTTTTAATAATTATAAATCTCATAACATGTCATGTAAGAGTCGGATTGTATTGGAATTTCACACATTCCAATATTTTATTAACCCAAGGTATGGTGTTAAGATGGAATATATCGATCCACTCCTTTCGTTACCTCTCCCAAAAAGGGTCAAAATTTTCAATATCCATGAAGCTCATAAAATGCGAAACTAACATCCGATTCCATTCAAACATAGCACATCTCAATATTTCTATCACCACAAGATCTGTTGAAAAGATGCTAGAGATCGGACCATTCCTTCTGGGACCTCCCCACAAAGGGCCAAAGTTTTGAATAACCAAAACGATTAAAAAATCCGAAATAAGTTCTCTTCATATTCGACACATCCCATTATTTCTACTAACATAAGATCTGTCATGAAGATGGGATATCTGGTTTCATTCCTTCTGAGACCTCCCCCCCAAAGGGTTAAAATGTTGAATATCCATGAAGCTCGTAAAACGCGAAATTAACAACCGATTCCACTCAGACTTGGTACATTTCAATATTTCCATCAATACAAGATCTGTTACAAAGATGGTAGAGATCGGATCATTCCTCCCCCACAAAGGGTCAACATTTTTTTAAATCCAAAACTATTATAAAATCCGGACCAAGCAGCCAGTTCTCTTCATATCTCGCACACCTCATTAGTTCTACTAATATAAGATCTGCTGTGGATATGGGATATATCGGTTCACTCCCCAATAAGGGGTAAAAATTTTGTATATTCATGAAGCTCATAAATCGCGAAATTAACATCCGATTCTATTCCCACCCCACCCCACATATAATGGTACCTTGCTTTTTTAGTATTTTGTTTATATTAGCGAATTATTCTGTGGAATTGTTTCAAATTTCGTATTTGAAGCTCGAAATACAGGCTACAGCCTATGACAAAGAACTGCGAATGCAGGTTCCCATCTTCGTATAGCCCCCTGGTTTACATTTAAGCGATATTTTTCGACAAAATGTTCTTCACATTTTACAAATTCCTCCCAAATGATGTTGGGTATTAAAAGACCTGCTCGGCCGAACTTAGCTCCTTCTTTTACATGTTCATGTTTGTTTTTTCACCATTGTTATTGTTATAGTTTCTTTCCCATTTTTCATAAATTTCACTCTCACTCGTATTTATAATTAACGTCTGCTTTGTTGTTTACATACATTCGTTTCATTGTTTGTGCGTGTTTTGATGAATGAACGTGGAATTCATTTCGTTGGAGTAAGGCAGAATAACCTCGATTGTGATTCTCGATTGAATTGCTAAAAATACGAGTGTGGAGTAATAAATACGAGTATGTAGGGAGCCAGTCAGTTAATTCGAAATTGACTTATAAACGTGGAATAGTAACCAGGTAAAATAAATCCGTGTACCAAATAGGGTGTATGTTGTGTAAAGCTAATACGTGTGTGCATTTATTTTTGCGAAGAATATTGACGCCTTTGTTGATTACACGCTTTTGTTTTTGTGTGTGTGTGCATTGACGAATGGATGTGGTTGTCATTTCATTGGAATATTACCGAATAACCTAAATGGTGATTCTCGATTTAGGGGCTAAAAATACGAGTGAGAAGAAATAAATACGAGTGAGTAAGAAGCTAGTTAGTTAATTCAGTATTTAATCGCAACTTTTAAACTTCGAATAGGAAAAAGGTAAAGTAAAGCTGCGTACCAAATGTCGAAGAGCCAACATATCTGCATAAAGTCTGAAGTTTGTCAGACATCTCTGACGGAAAGCTTTCCGGTTTCATTCAGATTCTCGTTTGTTGACACTTTTCTATGTTTCTCTCCAAGACTTTTTTTACTTTAGGCTAATGTTTCGTAGCCGCATTAGCCTAAAGCCCTTTCTGGGACTGACTTTTATAAATGTGTTGGACAATTCTTACAGCTTTCTTAAGACCCTAACTAAGTTCTCTTAGGTAGTAACTAATGAAAAATAAGCGTACTCACCTTTCAGTCTCTGTTTCTGCAATAGGTTGCTGTTGCTGCTGCTGTTGTAACGCTGTAGTTGTTGATGCTGTTTGTGATGTGGTGGCTGTTGAGGGTTTCGGCTGTTGTTGTTGTTGCTGCTGCTGTTGTTGCTGCTGCTGTTGCTGTGGTTGTTGTTGCGATGGCTGTGACGACTGTTGTTGAGTTTGCTGTGGTGTCTTTTGCTGTTGTGGTTGTTGTTGCTGCTGTTGCATTTTTTGACCCTCTATATTTGTGGGCATAACCGTGGCCGATGTTATTGGATTCAAGTGGACATTAACACTTGTTGCAGGCTGTTGCTGCTGAGCATTATCAAGGGGTCGTGGTGGTTGCTGTTGTTGGTATTGAACAGCTGCTGGCCCGGTAGCTGTGCCCGGTTGCATGGTCATCATGGGTGCGGTCATTGAGGTGCTGGTGGTGCCAGCCATTGAAGCATGTTGTTGTTGTTGTTGTTGCTGCTGCTGTTGTTGTTGGATTTGTGCCAAAATCGCAGCATTATCGACCATGGTAGCTGGGGCACTGTGTTGCTGCTGCTGTTGAGCTACCAATGAGGCCTGTTGCAATTGCTGTTGGGTCGCCTGCTGCTGTTGCTGCTGCTGTGGCTGTGGCTGTTGATACGAGGTCATTTGTGTCAAAATTGGCATCGTTTGTCCAGGACCCAGTGGCTGTTGTTGTTGCATTTGTTGGAATTGTGTCGGAAGTGAAGTTTGGTTGGATGGTGGCTGCTGCTGCTGTTGTGGCGTTGGCATTTGCTGTGGCAAACTAATGCTGCGAGCCACACCATCGGTTTGTGAAGTCTGTTGCTGTAGCGAAGCCTGACGTTGCTGTGGAATTTGTTGCCCCACCTGAGGCATTTGTTGCTGTGGAATCTGTTGCATGTTTGCAGGAACCCCCTGTCCCATTTGCTGTTGTTGTTGTTGTGGTGCCGGCATTTGTTGCATCGTCACCGGTACTGTCTGTTGCATTTGTGGTTGCTGTTGTTGGCCTGCTTGTTGTTGCTGTGGAATTTGTTGCACCGGCATAGAAGGACGTTGCATTTGCTGTTGTTGCTGCGTTGGCTGCTGCTGCTGTGGAATCTGCTGTACCGGAACGTTTTGTTGAATTTGCTGTGGTGGCTGTTGCTGTGGCACGGAAGACACAGACACCGAACGAGGCTGTTGCTGTTGCACTTGTTGTATGCCCTGCTGGGCCTGTGGCGGAATCTGTTGCGACTGCACTGGTAATGATTGCTGCCTCTGTGGCTGGGCTGGCGTCTGCTGTTGCATTTGTTGCGAAACCGCCTGCTGCATGGGCTGTTGCTGCTGCGGCTGCTGTGGCATCTGTTGTCTCAGCTGCTGTGGCATTTGCACCGGCATTGAATGTGGTTGCATTTGTACGGGCACCGAATGCTGTTGCATTGCTGGCTGTTGCTGCGGCATTTGTTGCATTTGTCCCATCTGCTGTGGCTGCTGCGGCTGTTGTGGAATCTGTTGCATTTGCACAGCCTGTGGCATTTGCTGTTGCTGCATTTGTTGCAACTGCTGCTGTTGTTGCGCCTGAGGTGCCGCTGCAGCAATACCCTCAGCCATTTGTGGCGACTGCTGTTGTGGTGTCTGATGAGGTGTGGACTGGAAGTTCGAAGTCACATAGGTTGGGGGTACCTGGGGTGTCTGTTGCGGAGCTGGTGACAATGGCTGATGTTGTTGTTGCTGTTGTTGTATGTCAATATTGTAGGCCTGCTGAGGCTGTTGTTGTCCTTGCTGGGCCATTATGGGCTGCTGGGGCTGTTGCGCCTGCTGCTGGATATTGGCACCAGCTGGGGAACCCACATTACTGTTATCCGACGATATGGATATACTGCCATTCTGCATGTTAATGCTGCTGGGCAAGGAAACAGTGTGGGGCTGTTGGACCTGGGCCTGTTGCTGTGGCTGACTTTGCTGAGACTGGGCCTGCGGTGGTGGTGGCTGCTGTTGCTGCAGGGCGGCTTGACTGGCCTGCTGCTGCTGCTGCTGCTGTTGCATGGACACCTGTTGTGGTGGCTGTTGTTGTTGCTGTTGTTTGAATGCCTCAAAATTAACGGGCTGCGAACGTCCCGGTATATAGGCCACGGCAGCTGCAGCCGCTGCCTTTTCCGAAGCCTCTATGGCCTCTTCGCGACGCTTCAACTCTTCCAGCGATTGCTTGAGTTTGTGGGCCGCCAAGGTGGCAAAATCAATGGGTATCTGTTGGCCCTGACCATCTTGCAACACCTGTCCGCCCATTGACATTTGCGGAGTATTGGCATTCACTTCCTGGGGTGGTGTCTGATATTGACCCTCCGAGGTCATAACACCTCCTGCTCCCTCAGCCTTTGCACTATCCACAAATTGCTGTAGGCCATGGACCACCGTGGCAGGGGCTGTGTTTATGCCGGCACCTCCACCGCCACCGCCTCCACCACCCGTTGCCATTGGCATTTTAGCTACTGGCTCTGGATAATTCCAATTGCCATCAGCTGAAGCTGCGGTATTGGCATCAAAGTGATTTTCCAAAATGGCGGCGGTGCCATGACCCAAAATCATACTCTGGGTGGTTCGAGGCCCACCACCACCTTCACCCGCATTATTTTCACCGGCAGTCGCTGGACCGCCGCCTTCAGTCTTTTCGTTGTTGTTTGCACCTCCAGCATCTCCTTTGCCACCACCGGGAACTGTGGTGTGATCCAAGTAATCCATACACACCCAGCGACCACGACGAAACGGTTCGGTCGACTCAATTTTCACCACCTTGAAACGTTCGCTGCGATGCTGGGTCGAGTCCTTTTTCACATCACTGCCACTGGGCACCACATCAATGAAATTCTCACCCACATTCACCTGAACATTGGATATATCCTGGGCTCCTAGGGTGGCCACCACCAACCCAAACTGTGAGCCAGTGGGTATGGCTGGAGCCGTACTGCTGAGCCCGTCATCCTGGTGATAGTAAATCTCCTCCTTGGAAAACGTGTCCTCCGACATGGAGGGGGTTTCATTTTCCAAATCCGTTATGCGACTGTTGTCATCGGTGTGAGATTCATCGAAATCGTCGGCCGACTCATCCTCACCATTGTCGGTGACGGGAGAAGGTTTCGGATTGCCACCCAGGGTAACTGAGGTAATCTGAAACGAGGATGTGGGTTTGGGCGGCTTGCGCATATTGCCTCCAGTGGTGGTGGTGGTGCTGCTGCTTTGGGTTCTGGTCACATTCTGGCTGTACGAAGATAGATAACTGCTGCGCAGGGTGCGCATGGTGGAACGCATGGTCGCAGCACCCTGATTTGGTGAGGGCTGTTCGGCAATGCTGTTGTTGTTGTTGGGCGACGAGGCCTTGCTTGAGTTTGCCGAGGATGATTTCGAGGTGGAATTCTTGGTCGAATGACTGGCATTGGAGCTGGTCGATTTGGGCGCCACAGAGGCTGAACTAGAGCTGTTGTTGGTTAGATTCGAATGAATGCTGTTGTAGCTGGTAGCGTTCGAGAGCGAATCAGCTGTGGCCGGGGTATTGGAAGGTGGTGGCACAGCATTCAGACGCAGACACTCGCTGGTCGTGCGTTGTATGGCCGTCGAGGTGGAGGTGGTGGTTGCCGCAGTAGTTGTGGTGGAAGCAGTCGAATTTGTGTTGTGCTGATGGGTGTGGTGATGGGCATGGTGATGATGCTGCTGCTGTTGATTCGCCATACTGTTGCTGTGATGATGATGATGGTGCTGATGATGGTGTTGCTGGTGATGGTGGTGATGTTTGTCCATACTGGTGTTGGTATTGTTGGCGCTGTTGTTTTTGTCCACCGTATTGCTGGTGTTCAGGGAATTCACCTTGACCAGGGTGGGTTTCTTGATGGCTGTGGTACTGGCCACCCGGGGCGCAGTGGTGGATTGGATGGTATTGCGACGCTGTGGTGTGTTCGTCGACACCTTAAAACGAGCGGACACAGGACGATCGATCATGCTGCGTGCTGGTGAGTTTTGAGGTGATTGCTGTTGCCGCTGTTGGTGGTGGTGCTGCTGACGACTGCTGGCTATGACAATGGTCTGGGGCTCGTCCGGCGATGAGGACGAATTGTTTTCGTTGGGTGGTGTCTCGGGTGAATTTAAAGCTGACGATGAGGATAGTTCTTCGGAATTTTGGGTGGACAACAATGAGTGGGGTGTTGTGCCGGCTGATTGGTGGTGGTGTTGGTGCTGATCTTCTTCGGGATGCTGTTCTTCTACGGTATTTTCTTGAGGATGTTCCTGGGTATCTGCTTCCTCCTGTTGCTGATGCTGATGATGCTGTGTTTGTGTCTGAGTTTGCGATTGTTGTTGCTGACCGGAATCCTCTGTGGCAGTTTGATTCTCGGCCATAATCGGGGTTTTCAGAGTCCGCAACTTTTTCAACAGCAAATCCAGGGTAGTGCGTATTGTCCAACCAAACCCGGGTGTAATCAATGTATCGAATATAAGACCAATGAACTTGAGTGTGTTGGTAATGGTGGTTAAGGAATCTTTGTTGTTGTTGTTGTTTTTGTTCTTAGTAGCTGAATACAGCTTAGTTGGAATTGTTGGAAAAAAGAGTTGAGAAACTTAGGTTTAAAATTTTGTTAAATTTAGTTTTAGTTGTTGTGGTTGTTGTTGATTTATCCTAGGGATGACAATTGTTTTAAATTAATTTAAAGTTCGTTTTTTTTTGGGGGGGGGGGGAGGTTTAACTAAAATTGTTTTTGGTTTTTTTTTTATCGCGCTGCTTTAAAATTTGATCTTGGATCGTAATTCTGTTTTTTGTCCTTGTTGTGGTTGTTTTTTTTTTTTTTCTATTTAGGCTATATTCTACAAGTCTTCTTTGAAGTTTCCGTTTCCGTTTTTCTCTCTCGGGTGATTTGGGGTCTAGCCAGATTATGGATGGCAAAACCTAATCCGCACTGTTATCACGTCGTTTATACGTTGCTCAATCTAAGACCAGCCGTTAGATAATGACTTAGAGAACCCCAAACTCGGATGGGTGGGTGGTTGACTGGCTGGGAGAGCTGTTGAGCTTACTTTTGTTATAAATTCGTCGAATTTGCTCTTCTCGTATACGAGAGAGAGAGGGAAAATGATCGGGAGCTTTGCTATATTTTTTTCTAGTTGATTTTTATTCTCTATGATTACGTCTATGATGCTGTGGCAGCTGATGATGATTTCGTTGATGTTGGAGATTATGACGATGATGATGATGACCACACGTTTATCTCAAAAGTTGTCGGTCACAAGTTTAGAGGTTAATAGTAGCAAAACTAAATTAAATCTAATTGAATTTCAACAACATTGTTCGTGAAGAGCGCAGAACGTTGGATACGTTGACAATAATCTAGATTTTCAAATCAGATTAGTTAGTAAAAACCCGGCTGCGCTGCTGCTGAGGATGGGGATTTTGATGGGACTGCTGACTTGAAGATGGGACACCAATGATCATGAAAAAACTTTGGTATTTTTTAATAAAAACTTAGCCAAGAGCAACAAATCTTGGAGCCGGCCAGACGACACAGATGAGGGCTTCAAAGATTCCTTAGCTGGCAGATAGGCTGGGGAGGTGCAGGCGGAGGAAGTTGAAAACGATTTACAGGCTATTAAAGGCTTTGACGTTGTTGTTTCCTTATTTTTATAGATCTCAGCAGTACTATTGACTTGGTGGTTCCGGTACAGGAGCGGAGGTTTCAATTTTTCGCTCACAACTTGTTGGTATTGCAAGATTTTCACAAAGGCGGTTGTTAAATAATCCGCGACGGCGTTAAAACGGACGATGATATTGTCAACGACGGCGACAATTTCAAAATCAATGACGGCGACTTCGACGACGACGGCGGCGGCGGTGACGACGTTTTTAACGTTATAAAAATAAACTAAGCGACAATGCTGGCGATGCATATTGTCATCAATACGAAATTACAACGAAGTTTAGCAACGACAACGCAAAACGATTGTAAAAATAACGACTGCATTACCGCGGCAATTTTCAACAAAAGTTTCAGATTTGAGAAAAAAAAAAAACAAAACTTAAAAGTCAATGTTTTCTCTTTTATTTAAAGAAGAGAGAGAGAGAGCGCGTTTTCTCTTTCCGCAAAAGATTTTTGAATAAAAATCAAGTTTTGTTGTTTTGTTTTTGGTTTTGAGGGAGACTCCACAAGAAAACGGCGAGAGAGGATAATGTCCACTCACACAAATTATGGCTCTCCACACACACACAGGTAGGTGTTAACTCTCACGTTTTACACGGCCAAACAAAGCCTAAACATTCTCTTCCGTTAGACAAGAGAAGTAGGGAGAGCAAACGAGAGGAAGAGAGAGAGTGAGTTCGTTAGATATTCAATTTAACGGTGCTGATCGCTTTATTTTTTCACAGTGTAAAAAAAATTCCGCTTGACTCTCGCTCTCAGATGATTTCGTTTCCCTTTCGGACAGCAGCTTAGTTGGTTCGCTGGGTTAGCTTTTCTGTGTGGTGTTCGTGTATTATTAAATTTCCGGTAATAAATTTCAATTAGTGGATGAATAAAATCACTTCATTTATCTTGGTTTTCCACTGAACGCAGAGGAGGAGAGAACACAAATATGAGAGAGAGAGAATGAAAAATTAACTGTAACAAAGAGCAAATCTCTATTACGTAGTTGATGCTCAGCTTGCGATGATTTAAGAAGAAATAGTTTCCAACTTCTCAAGATTTACAAAAATTTTGAAAATTATATCAAAACTTTGACACTGACATAGACACTCAAAAAAATAATTTTTAATTTTTTTTTCTTTCACAAAATTAAAATATTTTTCATTTTCATTTCACTGCGTAAATAAACATAAAAATTTCCTTTGTTTGGTTAACTGAAGATCATTAATAAAACTATTTTTTTTTTTGTTAGGTTAGGTTTTAATTGGCCAAATTGTTGAACACTTTAGCTTCTTTTTTTTAGGGGGAGGTTGATTTTTATTATTTTATTTCGTATAATTTTTTTATAATTATTTATCTCCTTCTGTTTTCTTTTCTTTTAAACTAACAATATATAATTTTATTTTATAATAACTTATATATGATTAACACTAGGTATTTTATTTATTTTTTTATATGGTTATGGTTTTGAAAAAATTTCTTTTAAAAGTTGCAAAAATTCACTAAATTATTTTGTAAAATTATTATGAAAGCCGTTTTGTGGGACGAGACGGTTTGAAATTTGTAGAAAAAAAGAAAAAACTTTGAAAAATTTGGTTTGAATAGCGAAAAGTTGATTTGTTGTTGGTTGGTTGGTTTTGTTTACGTTTCCGTTTGACGTTAATGTTGTTGTTTACTGCAAAAAAAGAGAGAAAAGACGTTGTTAATTTAAATTTTAGATGAATATTATAAAAGTAATTATAGTCGAACTTTTTTGACCATTGGCAAGATGATGACGAAAATTTAATTTTTTTACGAAATTACTTGAAATCTATTGAAACAATGTAGAAACTCATTTTGTTTTTTTTTATAAATTTAAACGTAATTGCAATTGACATGTAGGCCTGAGAGGTTGCAAATTTATTCCGAACATGTATGTATAACTTTTGACCCTTGATAGGGGTGGTTCCGAAAGAGTTGGCCAATATTGTCCAATTTGTATTTGACCAAAGTCTTAAATATTACAAGGAGCCATATGTGGAATATTATCGTCTACTTCCTATACTTTATATATGTACAAATTTTTGGAAAATGTGGAAATATGCTTGAGGTACCAGATATAGCGGACTGAAATATTCCACTTCATCGAATACAGATAAAAATATTGCTATGTGCAAAATTCAAAGGAAATCGAATATTCATATCCAATTTTACGCGAAATCATAAATTCCGATAAATTACATATTCCATATCACATTTTTAGCTAAGGGAAATATTTAGATATAGCTCCCATATATATGTTCGTACGATTTGCTTTTTATTGTGCACCAAACGTGTAATATCAGCCCGAATAGTATGGAATTTTGCACATACAACCAAATTAGACCTGAATAAGAATGTATGGTTCAGATATAGCTATAGCACCCAAATATATTGTTCATCCGATTTGTTATTTTTGTCCTCTGCAGACGTAATATGTACTCTGTAACAACAATATTTCGGGAAATATATCAAATGCAGCTCAGAAATACCTTTGCTAAATTTTTTCGAGATCGGTTCAGATTTGGATATAGCTCCCATATATAACTGCGTCCGATTTACCTTTTATTGTGCACCAAACGTCTAATATTTGTCCAAATGGGATGGAATTTGGCACATACGACCGAATTGAGTCTAGAAGGTAGTATGCCAAATTTGGTGAAGATCGGTTCAGATATAGCTATAGCTCCCATATATATTGTTCATCCGATTTGTTGTATTTGTTACCCACAGCCGTAATATGCACTCCGTAAATATATATATATATCAAATACACCTCAGAAATATCTTTGCCAAATGTTATCGAGATCGGTTCAGATTTGGATATAGCTCCCATATATATCTTTATCTGATTTCAAATTAATTTTGACCCAATGGGCAATACAAGTCCGAATTTAAAAGATACAAATGCTTCGGCATATTTAGTCCTATCAATTTAAAATTATAATTATAATCATAGGGTGTATGATTGAATTCTCCCATAAAAACTTATAATTGTTATGTGGTGCTCAACTAAGTAAGCAAAGTGGTATAGGGTATCATAAAATCGGCCCCGCCCGACTTTAAGACTTTCTTCACTGTTTTTTTTATTTTTGAACCCTTTGTGGGGGAAGTACAAGATAGCGTGCGCCTATATATTCCATTTTCACAGCATTTTGGTAAAAATAATGGAATGTGTGAAATTTGTAGCGAACCGGATGCTTATTTCGATTTTTATGATAGTTTTAGTTATTCGGAGCCTTGCCCCTTTTTGGGGAGGTAGCAGAAGGAATGGTCCGATCTCTACCATATTTGAAACAGATCTTATGTTGATAGAAATATTGAACTGTACCAAGTCTGAATAGAATCGGATGTTAAGTTCGCGTCTTATTAGCTTCATAGATATTCAAAATTTTTACCCTTTATGTAGGAGGTTCCAGAAGTAGTGGACCGATATTTGCTATCTTTACGCCTAGGGTTAATAAAAATATTGTGATGTGTCAAATTTGAAGAGAACCGGAAGCTTATTTCGGGTTTTATGATAGTTTTGGTTATTCAAAACTGTGACCCTTTGTGGTGGAAGTACTAGAAGGAATTGTCCGATCCCTACCATATTAATAACATATCCTGTGTTTTTAGAAATATTAAGATGTACCAAGTCTGGAAACGGAGGTTAATTTCGTGGTTTTTGAGTTTCACATTTTGACCTTTTGTGGGGGTCTAAAATGAAAACAAGTATCTATATTCTGGATCAGCGTAAAATTCTAAGTCGATTTAGTGATGTCCGTCTGTCTGTTTGTTGTAATCAGGCTATTTTTCGATCGAATTGAGATAAAAGGCTAAAATTCCGCAAACATTTGTAAATGGGCCATATTGGTCCACGTTTTCGTATAGCCCCATTTAACGGTACCTCCTCATATGCGGTGTTTTGATGGTTCTAGCGAGAGTATTTACCGGAATTGTTTCAAATTTTGTATTTGATAATTTTAATAGTTGCTACAACCTATGACAAAAAATGGTTATGCAGGTCCACGTCTTCTTATACGTCCCATATAATGGTACCCTCCAATGTTCGGTACTTTTATGATTTTAGAGACATCACAGAATGGATTTTTTTAGTATTTAAAGCTCGTAATGGTTAAAATGACCAAAAAAAATACATATGCTGGCATACCCCTTTGTATAGGCCCCATATAAAAGAGCCTCCGAATATTCGGTATTTTTATGATTTTAGAGACATTACAAACCGAAATTGTTTCAAATTTGGTATTTGAAGGTTGTAGTGGGTCTACACTCCATGAGGAAAAAATAGCGCATGCAGGCCTACGTCTTCATAAAGCCTTCATATATCAATACCTCCCGATATTCGTATTTTGATGATTTTAGCGACATTATTTACCGGAATTGTTTCAAATTTGGTATTTAAAGCTCGTAATGGGTACTACAGTCTATGACAAAAAATTACATATGCAGGCCCACGTCTTCCTATAGGCCCCATATAACGGCAATTTCCTAAATTCGGTACTTTTATGATTTTATATTGTATATTTTTATATTTAAAGTTCGGAATTGGTACTGGAGCCTATGGCAGAAAATCACGTAGTCGTATAGCCTTCGCATATATCGGTTTTCTTTTAAGCGGTACTTTTCGACTGATGTTTTTTTTTTTTTTTTGAAATTTTTCAAGTTCCTTTTAAATGGTGGAGGGTATTAAAAGTTCGGCTCTGCTTTTCAATTTGTTTTTAAATAAATATCTCAGTTACCAAATCGACCAGATATCTTAAACTCCAACAAGGTTAAGGATTGGAGAAATTATATGTTTAAAGTGTTGTTATCCCTGTTTAATTGGGCGTTTGGCCTATCCTAGATAAAAACCTGCTATGGAAACTCTTTCGTTAAGCAGCTAGCCTTAGCGCTTGATGCTCACAACAATATTCTTATGGTGAGGAATTTTTTCAACTGTTGATCCGATTTTTTCATACAAACAATTCCGATAAACGAAGCCTCCAAAGGCTATTTAATCAAATGTCATTAAAAGTTAGTCGGTCCTAAGGATGTGTCTGGAATTACTTTCGCATGGTGGGATAAATTGCTGCTCCGTGGTGTTATTTTTCAGAGAAATGAAAATAGTTTTTTAATATTTTTTTTTTTTTTTGTTTTTTTTTTTACTCCATTTAATATTTTTTAAAATAAAAAATCACAAATTTAATATCACAGAACTCTATATTGCAATTTGGTAACCAAAACAATTTTTTACTTCGCCATCATCTTACCAATTGTTACATCTTATCACAATAAATTTAATTTATATATTTTAAACTATGTAATTTTTTATTATTATTTTTTTTTTCATCTTTATATTTTTGAAAATGTTTTATTTGTATTCAATATTTTGCACTTCATATTTTTATTTTATTTTAGTCCATATTATTTTCAATACTTCGTACACTTCTTAAACGTCAATTCACATTTCACAATTGATCTATGACAAATGATCGGAAGGTTTGGTCACAGCAGAAAGAAACTCAAATTCGATTTTTAAAATTTTGGATTTTTTTTTGTTGTTGGTGATGCGGAGGAGTTGGTGGTCTTTTGCAGTCAATATTTGAAGTAGTACCCAATGGCGATTTATTTCAGTTGACATTTATTTTGTTTACTGTGTTGAATGAGGTTTGCCGCCGTACACTTTGATGCTGCAAAATTGAGAGGCGGGAGGGCGGGCCGGCGATCGTTTGTGGTAGTGGTTTTGCGACGTATTTATGAAAAGTAAATAATATCAGCGAAATATTTTTTTTTTTTTTTTGACAATTTAATATTTATATTTGTTTTTAATTTATTGTACCATATTTTTAGTGGCTAAATTAGTTTGGTTTAGAGCACAGCTTCTTTAAGCATAGCTCTCTCTACGTAGTTCTCGTGTGAGTTATGTCAATATTTTTTTTTTAAACGTTTTTTCGTTAATAGTATTTAAATGAGTTCTATTTTTAGCTAAACAAATTAATATTCAATTACGCATTCAAGGTAGTTTGAAGAAAAAAAAAAAAACAATGAAAAGAGGAGAAAAAATAATTTAAAAGTAAGTTGACAGAGGTTTAGTAGTTTATAATGGGAGGAGTATCAAAAATAGTTTTGAGAACTCAGAAAACAAGATTCTAAGAAGCTCTGAGAATTCATAAAAGATCTTGTGTAGAAAGAAGATCCAATTTTAAGGTCTTCTATCCATAGAAGAGCTGTTACAGGTCTCCTATCCATAGAAGAGCTATTACAGGTCTCTTATCCATAGAAGAGCTGTTAAAGGCCTTCTAGCCATAGAAGAGCTGTTACAGGTCTTCTAGCCATAGAAGAGCTGTTACAGGTCTTCTAGCCATAGAAGAACTGTTACACGTCTTCTAGCCATAGAAGAGCTGTTACAGGTCTTCTAGCCATATAAGAGCTGTTACAGGTCTTCTAGCCATAGAAGAGCTGTTACAGGTCTTCTGGCCATAGAAGAGCTGTTACAGATCTTCTGGCCATAGAAGAGCTGTTACAGATCTTCTAGCCATAGAAGAGCTGTTACAGGTCTTCTAGCCATAGAAGAGCTGTTACAGGTCTTCTAACCATAGAAGATCTGTTACAGGTCTTTTAGCCATAGAAGAGCTGTTACAGGTCTTCTAGCCATAGAAGAGCTGTTACAAGTCT